AATGAGGTTGGTGAATGAAAGAGGTTGGTGTATGGGTGAGGTTGGTGTATGAGTGAGGTTGGTGTATGAGTGAGGTTGGCGTATGAGTGAGGTTGGCGTATGAGTGAGATTGGTGAATGAGTGAGGTTGGTGCATGAGTGACGTTGGTGTATGAGTGTGGTTTGCGAATGAGTGAGGTTTTTGTATGAGTGAGGTTGGCGTATGAATGAGGTTGGTGTATGAGATTGGTGTATGAGCGAGGTTGGTGCATGAGTGAGGTTGGTGCATGAGTGACGTTGGTGTATGAGTGTGGTTTGCGTATGAGTGCGGCTGCTGTATGAGTGCGGCTGGTGTATGAGTTAGGCTGCTGTATGAGTGAGGCTGCTGTATGAATTAGGGTGCTGTATGAGTGCGGCTGCTGTATGAGTTAGGGTGCTGTATGAGTGCGGCTGCTGTATGAGAGAGGCTGCTGTATAAGTGAGGCTGCTGTATGAGTTAGGGTGCTGTATGAGTGAGGCTGCTGTATGAGTGAGGCTGCTGTATGAGTGAGGCTGCTGTATGAGTTAGGGTACTGTATGAGAGAGGCTGCTGTATGAGTGCGGCTGCTGTATGAGTGAGGCTGCTGTATGAGTGAGGCTGCTGTATGAGTGAGGCTGCTGTATGAGTGCGGCTGCTGTATGAGTTGAGGTGCTGTATGAGTGAGGCTGCTGTATGAGTGAGGCTGCTGTATGAGTGAGGCTGCTGTATGAGTTAGGGTGCTGTATGAGTGAGGCTGCTGTATGAGTGCGGCTGCTGTATGAGTGAGGCTGCTGTATGAGTGCGGCTGCTGTATGAGAGAGGCTGCTGTATGAGTGAGGCTGCTGTATGAGTGAGGCTGCTGTATGAGTGAGGCTGCTGTATGAGTGAGGCTGCTGTATGAGTGCGGCTGCTGTATGAGTTAGGGTGCTGTATGAGTGAGGCTGCTGTATGAGTGCGGCTGCTGTGTGAGTGAGGCTGCTGTATGAGTGCGGCTGATGTATAAGTGAGGCTGCTGTATGAGGTTGCTGTATGAGTTAGGGTGCTGTATGAGTGAGGCTGCTGTATGAGTGAGGCTGCTGTATGAGTGAGGCTGCTGTATAAGTGAGGCTGCTGTATGAGGTTGCTGTATGAGTAAGGCTGCTGTATGAGGTTGCTGTATGAGTTAGGGTGCTGTATGAGTGAGGCTGCTGTATGAGTGAGGCTGCTGTATGAGTGAGGCTGCTGTATGAGTGAGGCTGCTGTATGAGTGCGGCTGCTGTATGAGTTAGGGTGCTGTATGAGAGAGGCTGCTGTATGAGTGAGGCTGCTGTATAAGTGAGGCTGCTGTATGAGGTTGCTGTATGAGTTAGGGTGCTGTATGAGTGAGGCTGCTGTATGAGTGAGGCTGCTGTATGAGTGAGGCTGCTGTATAAGTGAGGCTGCTGTATGAGGTTGCTGTATGAGTTAGGGTGCTGTATGAGTGAGGCTGCTGTATGAGGTTGCTGTATGAGTTAGGGTGCTGTATGAGTGAGGCTGCTGTATGAGTGAGGCTGCTGTATGAGTGAGGCTGCTCTATGAGTGAGGCTGCTGTATGAGTGAGGCTGCTGTATGAGTGCGGCTGCTGTATGAGTGAGGCTGCTGTATGAGTGCGGCTGCTGTATGAGAGAGGCTGCTGTATAAGTGAGGCTGCTGTATGAGGGTGCTGTATGAGTGAGGCTGCTGTATGAGTGCGGCTGCTGTATGAGTGAGGCTGCTGTATGAGTGCGGCTGTTGTATGAGTGCGGCTGCTGTATGAGTGCGGCTGTTGTATGAGTGAGGCTGCTGTATGAGTGAGGCTGCTGTATGAGTGAGGCTGCTGTATGAGTGCGGCTGCTGTATGAGTGCGGCTGTTGTATGAGTGAGGCTGCTGTATGAGTGAGGCTGCTGTATGAGTGAGGCTGCTGTATGAGTGAGGCTGCTGTATGAGTGCGGCTGCTGTATGAGTGCGGCTGCTGTATGAGTGAGGCTGCTGTATAAGTGAGGCTGCTGTATGAGGTTGCTGTATGAGTGCGGCTGCTGTATGAGTGCGGCTGTTGTATGAGTGAGGCTGCGGTATGAGTGCGGCTGCTGTATGAGTGAGGCTGCTGTATGAGTGAGGCTGCTGTATGAGTGAGGCTGCTGTATGAGTGCGGCTGCTGTATGAGAGAGGCTGCTGTATGAGTGAGGCTGCTGTATGAGTGAGGCTGCTGTATGAGTGAGGCTGCTGTATGAGTGAGGCTGTTGTATGAGTGCGGCTGCTGTATGAGTGAGGCTGCTGTATGAGTGAGACTGCTGTATGAGTGCGGCTGCTGTATGAGTGCGGCTGCTGTATGAGTGAGGCTGCTGTATGAGTGAGGCTGCTGTATGAGTGCGGCTGCTGTATGAGTGAGGCTGCTGTATGAGTGAGGATGCTGTATGAGTGAGGCTGCTGTATGAGGTTGGTGTATGAGTGAGGCTGCTGTATGAGTGAGGCTGCTGAATGAGTGCGGCTGCTGTATGAGTGCGGCTGCTGTATGAGTGAGGCTGCTGTATGAGAGAGGCTGCTGTATGAGTGAGGCTGCTGTATGAGTGAGGCTGCTGTATGAGTGAGGCTGCTGTATGAGGTTGGTGTATGAGTGAGGCTGCTGTATGAGTTAGGCTGCTGTATTAGTGAGGCTGCTGTATGAGTGAGGCTGCTGTATGAGTGAGGCTGCTGTATGAGGTTGGTGTATGAGTGCGGCTGCTGTATGAGTGAGGCTGCTGTATGAGGTTGGTGTATGAGTGCGGCTGCTGTATGAGTGAGGCTGCTGTATGAGTGAGGCTGCTGTATGAGGTTGGTGTATGAGTGAGGCTGCTGTATGAGTGAGGCTGCTGTATGAGTGAGGCTGCTGTATGAGTGAGGCTGCTGTATGAGGTTGGTGTATGAGTGAGGCTGCTGTATGAGTGAGGCTGCTGTATGAGGTTGGTGTATGAGTGAGGCTGCTGTATGAGTGAGGCTGCTGTATGAGTGCGTCTGTTGTATGAGTGCGGCTGGTGTATGAGTGCGGCTGCTGTATGAGTGAGGCTGCTGTATGAGTGAGGCTGCTGTATGAGTGCGGCTGCTGTATGAGTGAGGCTGCTGTATGAGTGAGGCTGCTGTATGAGTGAGGCTGCTGTATGAGTGAGGCTGCTGTATGAGTGCGGCTGCTGTATGAGTGAGGCTGCTGTATGAGGTTGGTGTATGAGTGAGGCTGCTGTATGAGGTTGGTGTATGAGTGCGGCTGCTGTATGAGTGAGGCTGCTGTATGAGTGAGGCTGCTGTATGAGTGAGGCTGCTGTATGAGTGACGCTGCTAAAGCAACTGCAGTACATTAAACAAGGTTGAACATTAGGTTGTATTCTGCTCTATATCTTTCACATAATTCTATTGAGTTTTCCATAACCACCTTGGTGGGTGCTCGTAGAGCTAGATCATTAAACAAAACATTGGCCCTAGTTCTGTCCATTTGACAGCCCGCTCTACTGGCTGTCAAATCTAGTACAATGCCTTAACATTGATTACAATGTTTGCCTCTAGTACAATGGATGAAGATTGAAAGCAAACAATATGATGCCTGAAAAGAACACATTTCACCCCCCATTTCTTAGGGAAAAATTTTGAGAAAGGGCGTTGTTATATTTCACCGTTAATTTGCATACACGATATGAAATATATAAATATATAGCGATGACAGGATATACTTTTTTGATAGGCGAATCTCTAATAAAATTTGGTGTGTTGAATGTGCAATGAAATCACATTAACCTGATGTATCAAGGGAGAAAATCTGTAGGAGCCGTGAGGATGATTTAATTTGTATCATGTCGTGGTGTACTGGTCTTGGGCATGTGCTTGGAAGTACCAAGTGAGCGGGTTCGAATCCTCCTCATGGCTCGTACTGATTTTCTCATTGAGAGGTTCACAATTTTGTCAAAAGCTTGGGAAGCATCAAGAGCCGTAGAGAGAACAGAGGGAGTCGTAGAACTGTACAGCCTGGTTTAGTAGTCAGTAACGTATGCAAGTTGTATGTCAAAACTTTTCTAGTTCGTCAGTTAGAAAATCAATGAGTATATAATAAAATAATTTGTTTGATAGTGTGTTTAGGGCAATGGCTCTATAATTATCTGAGGAGGACATGGAAGCTCTAAGGTTTTCTTTGCAGTGAGAACAAGAACGGAGGTGTTCATTACGACTGCTGCTGTACCTTGGAAGAGTAAGCCTGTAAAGCACATAAACACACACACTCACACACAGTTTCGGTGTTCCATGTTTAAGTTAGTCTGAGTATATGTTTCAGAGGAGTCTTATAATTCCACTTTATTAGTTTCCTAAGAGCTTCCTCAACCATTACAGGTGTTACAGTGTACAAGTGTTTAACACTGAACCCACAGAAATCGCCCAAGACGTTCGTTACCCCTTTGTATGATTTTTCTACTTATCTTTTCTTACCCCACAAAGTTAAAAAAAAAAAAATTCTTGAAAGGTTATCAGCAAACTTGTATCTCACAATCTGAACTTTCTCTCTATCCTCTTCATGTTTGATAATATGGAGTCATGGTGCTGGACTAATCTGGGGCACCCAGCCATCCATGGGGCAGGGCCCAGCCGTCCCTAGGGCAGGGCCCAGCCATCCATGGGGCAGGGCCCAGCCGTCCCTAAGGCAGGGCCCAGCCATCCATGGGGCAGGGCCCAGCCGTCCCTAATGCAGGGCCCAGCCATTTCTAGGGCAGGGCCCAGCTATCCATGGGGAAGGGCCCAGCCGTGCTTGGGGCACCCAGCCATCAATAGGGCAGGGCCCAGCCGTGCTTGGGGCACCCAGCCATCAATAGGGCAGGGCCCAGCCATTCATGGGGCAAGGCTCAGGCATCCATGGGGCAGGGTCCAGCCGTCCTTAGGGTAGGGCCCAGCCATCCCTGGGGCACCCAGCACCTTTCCAAAGGTTGTAACAAAAGATAGACTTAATTTAGGATTTCCTACCCTGATCATTCCAACTTCGCCCATTTTCGTCATGACGGACGCTCTCTTCCCCGCGGTAACCAACACCGACGTGACGGATATAGTGGTGTTAGTGGTGGTGTTAGTGGTGGTGGTGTTAGTGGTGGTGGTTGAGGTGGTGGCGTTAGTGGTAGTGGATGAGGTGGTGGTGGTGGATGAGGTGGTGGTGTTAGTAGTGGTGGATGAGGTGGTGGTTGAGGTGGTGGTGGTTGAAGTGGTGGTGGTTGAAGTGGTGGTGTTAGTTGTGCTGGTTGACGTGGTGGTGGATGAGGTGGTGGTGTTAGTGGTGGTGGTTGAGGTGGTGGTGTTAGTAGTGGTGGTGTTAGTGGTGGTGGATGAGGTGGTGGTGTTAGTAGTGGTGGATGAGGTGGTGGTGTTAGTGGTGGTGGTTGAGGTGGTGGTGTTAGTAGTGGTGGATGAGGTGGTGGTGTTAGTGGTGGTGGTTGAGGTGGTGGTGTTAGTGGTGGTGGTTGAGGTGGTGGTGTTAGTGGTGGTGGTTGAGGTGGTGGTGGTTGAGGTGGTGGTGTTAGTTGTGGTGGTTGAGGTGGTGGTGTTAGTGGTGGTGGTTGAGGTGGTGGCGTTAGTGGTGGTGGATGAGGTGGTGGTGTTAGTGGTGGTGGATGAGGTGGTGGTGTTAGTGGTGGTGGATGAGGTGGTGGTTGAGGTGGTGGTATTAGTTACGGTGGATGAGGTGGTGGTGTTAGTGGTGGTGGTTGAGGTGGTGGTGTTAGTGGTGGTGGTTGAGGTGGTGGCGTTAGTGGTGGTGGATGAGGAGGTGGTGTTATTGGTGGTGGATGAGGTGGTGGCGTTGTTGGTGGTGGATGAGGTGGTGGTGGATGAGGTGGTGGTGGATGAGGTGGTGGTGGATGAGGTGGTGGTTGAGGTGATGGTGGTTGAGGTGGTGGTGTTAGTTGTGGTGGTTGAGGTGGTGGTGTTAGTGGTGGTGGATGAGGTGATGGTTTTAGTGGTGGTGGTTGAGGTGGTGGTGTTAGTGGTGGTGGATGAGGTGGTGGTGTTAGTGGTGGTGGATGAGGTGGTGGTGGATGAGGTGGTGGTGGATGAGGTGGTGGTGGATGAGGTGGTGGTGGATGAGGTGGTGGTTGAGGTGGTGGTGTTAGTTGTGGTGGATGAGGTGGTGGTGGATGAGGTGATGGTTTTAGTGGTGGTGGTTGAGGTGGTGGTGTTAGTGGTGGAGGATGAGGTGGTGGTGTTAGTGGTGGTGGTTGAGGTGGTGGTGTTAGTGGTGGCGGATGAGGTGGTGGTGTTAGTGGTGGTGGTTGAAGTGGTGGTGTTAGTGGTGGTGGTTGAAGTGGTGGTGTTAGTGGCGGTAGTTGAGCTGGTGGTTGAGGTGGTGGTGTTAGTGGCGGTAGATGAGGTGGTGGTGTTAGTGGTGGTGGTTGAGGTGGTGGTGTTAGTGGTGGTGGTTGAGGTGTTGGCGTTAGTGGTGGTGGATGAGGTGGTGGTGTTAGTGGTGGTGGATGAGGTGGTGGTGTTAGTGGTTGTGGTTGAGGTGTTGGCGTTAGTGGTGGTGGATGAGGTGGTGGTATTAGTGGTGGTGGATGAGGTGGTGGTTGAGGTGGTGGTGTTAGTGGCGGTGGATGAGGTGGTGGTGTTAGTGGTGGTGGTTGAGGTGGTGGCGTTAGTGGTGGTGGTTGAGGTGGTGGCGTTAGTGGTGGTGGATGAGGTGGTGGTGTTAGTGGTGGTGGATGAGGTGGTGGTTGAGGTGGTGGTGTTAGTGGCGGTGGATGAGGTAGTGGTGGTGGTTGAGGTGGTGGTGTTAGTGGTTGTGGTTGAGGTGGTGGTTGAGGTGGTGGTGTTAGTGGTGGTGGTTGAGGTGGTGGCGTTAGTGGTGGTGGATGAGGTGGTGGTGTTAGTGGCGGTAGTTGAGCTGGTGGCGTTAGTGGTGGTGGATGAGGTGGTGGTGTTAGTGGTGGTGGATGAGGTGGTGGTGTTAGTGGTGGTGGTTGAGGTGGTGGTGTTAGTGGTGGTGGTTGAGGTGGTGGTGTTAGTGGTTGTGGTTGAGGTGTTGGCGTTAGTGGTGGTGGATGAGGTGGTGGTGTTAGTGGTGGTGGATGAGGTGGTGGTTGAGGTGGTGGTGTTAGTGGCGGTGGATGAGGTGGTGGTGTTAGTGGTGGTGGTTGAGGTGGTGGTGTTTGTGGTGGTGTTTAGGTGGTGGTGTAAGTGGTTGTGGTTGTGAGGTGGTGGTTGTGAGGTGGAGGTTGTTGAGGTGGTGTTGAGATGATTGTGGTGAGGTGGTGGTTGTTAGGTGATGGTTGTGATATGGTGGTAGTTGAGGTGACGGTTGTGAAGTGATGGTAGTTGAGGTGATGGTAGTCGAGGTGATGGTAGTCGAGGTGATGATTGTAAGGTGATGGTTGTGAGGTGATGGTAGTCGAGGTGATGGTTGTGAGGTGATGGTAGTTGAGGTGATGGTAGTTGTGGTGATGATTGTAAGGTGATGGTTGTGAAGTGATGGTAGTTGAGGTGATGGTAGTCGAGGTGATGGTAGTCGAGGTGATGGTAGTCGAGGTGATGATTGTAAGGTGATGGTAGTTGAGGTGATGGTTGGTATGAGGTGTTGTCCACTCAGAAAAGGCTCCATATCTCATATCCTCACGTCTGAAACTACTTATAAGGCCTCCTGTTACCAATATCTCCAATGTAAAGTAGTGGAACTGATATGGACGCTTCCGTAGACTATTGTATCGAGATATTTTTTTTGACAAATGTACCTCATTGTACTAACCACATAGCATGCAACAATGTTGAAGTTCAACTAGATTTAGGTATCTCCATCTTTGCTAATAAGACAATATTGTTCCAAACATTTTGATCCAATATGAGAGAAATTACAGACTCTCAATAGACTTGAAAGCACTTGGATATAAAACACAGAGGAGGTTGTTTTAATTCAAAGATCTGACAACCAACTGACGGTGTGACATATAGTTCAGGTTTGGTGTGACATATAGTTCAGGTTTGGTGTGACATATAGTAGTTACAAGGATCAGGTTTGGCTCTCCAAACCTCTGAAAGGTGGCAAACGTTATTGAAGCTTTCCATCCCAAGCACACGAAAATCTGGTGAGGACACACACACACACACACACCGTTAAAATTAAAAAAAAAATCATGCAACACCGTGTGTGTGTGATAAAGACAGATAAAGTTGTGATAATGTGTGGTAGATAAAGACAGGCTATTTAACACAAGGGGCACAAGCACTAGGGGACAGAGGTGGAAACTGAGTGTCCAAATGAGCCACAGAGATACTAGAAAGAACTTTTTTAGTGTCAGAGTGGTTGACAAATGGAATGCATTAGGAAGTGATATGGTGGAGGCTGACTCCATACTTAGTTTCAAGTGTAGATATCATGGAGCCCAATAGGTTCAGGAACCTGTACACCTATTGATTGACGGTTGAGAGGCGGGACCAAAGCGCCAGAGCTCAACCCCCGCAAGCATAATTAGGTGAGTACACCCAGACTGAACACAAGGTACCATCTGGGAGGTGAAATCCTGCAAAAGTCAAATTGAAGGATCTGGGGGTTGATATCCCACCTAACCTGTCCCCAGAGGCCCACATCAAAAGGATATCATCAGCGGCATATGCTAGATTGGCCAACATAAGAACTGTCTGACCTGCGTCAAGAATCATTCTGGACCTTGTTTACCACTTATGTCAGATCAACCCTGGAGTATGCAGCTCCAGCCTGAAATCTATACCTAGATAAACACAATACAAAGAGAAGATTCAGAGGTGTGCCACCAGACTAGTCCCCGAACTGAGAGGTATGAGTTAAGAGGAAAGGCTACGGGAGCTAACTTCACGTCCCTGGAAGACAGAGGAGTAAGGGGAGACATGATAACTACCTACAAAATTCTCAGGGAAATTGACAGAGTGGACAACGACAAACTATTTAGCACGGAAGGAACACGAACTAGGGGACACAGGTGAACACGTAGTACCCAAATGAGCCACAGTGACACTAAATTTTTTTTTTCAGAAGTAGTTAACAAATGGAATTTATTAGGCAGTGATGTATTCACCTATTTGTATTCACCTAGTTGTGCTTTCGGGGGATGCGCTCTGCTCTTTCGGTCCGGCTCTAAACTGTCAATCAACTGTTACTAATTACTATTTTTTTCCACACACACACACACACACACACACACACACACACACACACACACACACACACACACACACACACACACACACACACACACAGGAAACAGCCCGTAGCAACTGTTTAACTCCCAGGTACTTATTTACTGCTAGGTAACAGGAGCATCAGAGTGAAAGAAACTCTGCCCATTTTTTGCTTCTCGTCGGCGCCGGGAATCGAACCCGGGCAGCAGGATTACGTGTGCAGCGTGCTGTCCACACAGCCACTGGCGTCCCCGAAGTGGAGGCACCAGCGTGGTGGAGGCAGGTTCCATACACAGTTTCAATTGGAGATTTGATAGAGCCCAATGGGCTCCAGAATCTATACACCAGTTGATTGACAGTTGAGAGGCGAGACCAAAGAGCCAAAGCTTAATCATCAAGCACAACTAGGTGAGTGCAACTAGGCGAGTACAAGCACACACACACACACACACAAGTCTGGTCTAGAAAATGGCTGCTAAAGTTCAACTCGGGAAAGTGTAAGGTGATGAAATTAGGCGAAGGGAGCAGGAGGCTGAACACAAGGTATCATCTGGGAGGGGAAATCCTGCAAGAGTCAAATAGAGACAAGGATCTGGGGGTTGATATCACACCGAACCTGTCCCCAGAGGCCCACATCAAAAGAATATCATCAGCGGCATATGCTAGACTGGCCAACATAAGAACTGCCTTCAGAAACTTGTGTAAGGAATCTTTCAGAACCCTGTATACCACTTATGTAAGACCAATCCTTGAGTATGCAGCTCCAGCCTGGAGTCCATACCTAGTTAAACACAAGACAAAGTTAGAGAAGATTCAGCGGTATGCCACCAGGCTCGTACCGGAACTGAGAGGATTGAACTACGAGGAAAGGCTAAAGGAGCTGAACCTCACATCCCTGGAAAACAGAAGAGTAAGGT